CCTCTGCCCTCCCTCCCCTCGGTGGCCACAAGCGCACATGGCAAGGCTGAAGGGACTTGGGACTAACTTTGGTGCCAAGTGCCCTAATTGTAGGCCTAAGTCCCTGCATATGTAGACACCTGCCAAAAATCACTTAATGTGCTTTAGCTTAATGAACATTACATTTAGTCATGCTTATTTGCAGTTGTAGACATGTCCATAGATTGAGAAAAAGGCCTAGCTTATGAATGCTGGTGGACTTAGATGTAAGACAAGAACTGAGCTTGTCAGACTTGTCAACACTAGCATTTCAGGTATGTCCAGAAGCAGAACCTTATGATCATGGAGTACACTGAGTTAAAAAATTACACGCTAATGAATTTAGCTGTTTCAGGCATTAGGCACCTGTTCAATAGGAGTTTTAAGGAATACAACTGGAATTAGGAAGAACTTAGCTGTCTAAGTCCTTTTTATGGATCTAGTATTAAACTTTTGATTTAATATGCAATCAAGTAAATGTAAATATTCTCTTTTGCCTTAAATGGCATGTCGATTAGTTTAAAAATGTATGAATGTAGGGACAGGTCCAAATTGTTATTATAGGCATCTAAAGAGAATATAGGCAGAAGTTTGGTGCATATTCAAATGAGTTATACCCAGATTGATGTCACTTCCACAGCCTGGGAGACATCTTTCCAATTACAACCTACCTGTCTGTTCCTACCCACACCAGGAAATGCCCAAACAGGAAAAGTAATGGTGAAGCTTCTCTTAGGGGATCATGACCCCCTGGCAGTGCAATGACATGGTGTGGACAGATATAAAAAAGTGATAGTTGCAGAAAAACTAAGGCATTCTTTGGCACCTCTGTTCTAGCCTGTAAAAACTACTATGCAGCTGTGAGTTACAATGACCTACTGCCCATTCTCAGGAATTATCCAGACTGACCATGTAGAACCTGTTTCTTGGTAAGGTCTATTATGATCCACATCAGTGCTACAAGGAATCTAAAGTATAAATCTGCAATTCCTTAGGGAGCTAACAGACATGGATGCAGATCTTTACAATGCATAGCCAGAAAAGTAGTCATGCTACCCTTAACCAAACAAATTAGGGGTAAGGCAATTTATCCAGAAAATGGGATGTACTCAGCTTGAAGGGACGCAAAACCATATTTTGTATTTCCCCTGAGAGTGCTCTTATCCAAGCCATTGAAAACAGTATGTAGAAGAAACTTTAATGTTCTGTGGTGAGGACCATTCCACTTGCCTGGATATTTGGAGATAATTCTCAACCCCTTGCTCCAGACTAAATAGTCTTAGTTCTTTCAGCCTTTTCTGTTTTTACATTCTTTCCAAACCTGTAATCATTGTTGTCCCTCTCAGCTGGACTCTCTCCAACCTATCCACATCTTCCTTGAAGTATGAGCTCCAAAATTGGACACAGTACTCCAGGGAAGTCCTCGCCAAGGCTGAATACAGCAGAGGAATCATCTCTCTTAACATGTTAATTCAACCCAGTATGCTATTGGCAACTTTTATAACAAGAACACACCACTGACTCATATTCCACTGCAACCCCAAGTCCTTCTATGAACTATGGCAGTCTGCCCAGCCTGCATTTGTACATGCTACTCTTCCATCCCAAGTGCAAAACTTTTCACTTGCCTTTGTTGAATTTAATCTGAACTTGGACCATTTATCCAGTTTTTCCAGGTTATACTGGGTCTAGCCTACCCTCCAAAGAGTATCAGCAACTCCACCCAACTTGATGTCATCTTCAAATTTGCTAAGCTTGTACTCCATCCTGTCATCCAAATCAGTGATTCTTAACAGGGGTACTCAACACCCAGGAGTGCCTTGATATCCTTTACACAGTGTTGTAGCGAGCCACGCAATGTTAGTCCTGTTAGGTGTACCAGCATGATTCACTAGCAGATACTAGAGATTTAAAACAGGAATCCACAATGTTAAAAACATTTTGACCCATTTTGGTTTTTCTGAGTTCTTTGCAATAGAAGAACTGCTCTATTATTTTTCTGTAGTCAAGAAACAAAAAGGGTAATGTAAGTTGTCATTTTCTGAGGAGTTAGTTGTGTTTTAAAAAGTTGAGAACCACTTATTCAGATTATTAATGAAGATGCTAAACAATATAATACCCGGTACAGATCCTGGGGAACCCCCGCACTTGATACTTCCTCCAAACTAGACATTAAGTCATTGATGGCTACTTGTTGAGCATGATGATTCAGCCAGTTGTGATCTAATTTCCTGTATTTTATCTCATCTATATTTGCTTAGCTTATTAATAAGAATAGTGTGGGAGACAGTGTCAAAAGCCTTGCAAAAGTCAAGGTATACTTCACCCACTGCTATCCCCCAATCCAGACTTTGTCCCCATATAGTAGAAATCAAGTTGGGCAAGTCTGACTAATAAAATACATATAAAATGCATGATTGAGGATCCATGTCTCCCCTTGTTCCAAAGGAGTGCCTTTCCCACTGGGATTTAAAGCCAAAGTCCTTTTGTTTGATATCCTTCTGGCATCATGTATCCTATACTCTTATCTTCCCAGTGCCCCAGATTCGGAAGAAGAGATTGATTGTGTATTCTGCACAACATATTCAATAGCCTGGTAGGAAAGGCTCTTCTCCAAGGAAGGAGATGTGGTAGTGTCGTTCAAAAGGTTGATCAGTAGGCTGCTGGACAAAAGATGGGCACCACCATCATTGGCCAGGTTCAAGAATGAATGGAGGGGACAGGATGCTATGTGTGATGCTAAATTTATTGTTGCTATCCATGTGATTAAGGCATCCTGATTCCAGCAGGAGCCTCCCTTCTAGGCACTTTAGATCTAAAGATGAGAGGGGGACCTAGTGTGCAACATCTAGGCACCTACAACTTCCTTCGAGTTGCTTATGGCGATAGAACAGTGGTTCTCAACCATTTCTGTACCAGGACCCATTTATAAAAATTGATGACCAGTCCTGACCCAGTACCCTTCATTTCCAATCCACTGTCCCCTGCCCTCAGGTCAGCCCCCCTTAGGGTGTGGGGCTTGGGGGGTTGTGTGGGGCATGGGCATGCCTACAAGGAAAAAGCCACAGTTTCCAATGTTTTTTCTCCTTTAAAGGAAAATCCATTTTTAAAGTTTGTTTGTGACACTTCCATATATTCTTGTGACCCACTTTTGGCTCCTGACCCATGGGTTGAGAAACACTGCTGCAGAGGGCTTGTAGGAGCCTAACTGTGTCAGTTTGGGTAACTATTTTGGGGCAAGACTCCAATTTTAATCATTTCAACCCCCATATGGGGTTGCCTACAAGGACAATTTGCAACTGGCCTTTAATTTTAAATAAGGTATCTTGACATTATCATAGATTATCCCTATATAAATTCTCATATTTTAATTATATTGAAAATTGAAAAAAATCAAGCTAAGTTTTACCAAACAAGATATTTAGATATATTCAAGAGAGCACCAATAATGTATTACCATTATTTATTAAGTAGTAAGTATAGTGGGACAATTAATGGGGCATCAGAGAGTAATGTATTGAATAAAACAGCCACTTTGTGTGCAAGAGTACAAGTGGAGCCTAATACATTGTATTAGGAGAAGACATAAATATCTTTGTTGTTTTATATGGACAGTTAAAAGAGTTGTCTCCTTCCATTAAAGGACAATAAAAAATCATTTTAGCTTACAAGTAATTAATTACTGGGAATATATTTTATTTTTGTAGTGACTTAAGGCAAACAAAGTTGTTGTGCGTTCTTTCTTAAACCAGAGGGGAAAATGAGCTACTTTAGAAAGTGAGATAAAGCCTCACTTATTCTAGTGTAGTTTGGTATTCTGTTCAATTACTGATGAATCACTAGAGAACCTATGATGTGTGCATTATAGAAGCATCACCAATATTACTTATTTTGAGATAAGGTTACAATTTTGTTAGAAATAGTCAGAGAAAAGAATTGCACATTGATTGATTGAGCCATACAGACAACTACCAAACTGTTCCACTTGTTGAATGCTCTTTTGGTAATTCTAGCACTTGACTTGTCCTAGCATACTAAAGGTCCACTATTAGACTTCATTCAGTGTGCCAAATCCAGGAAACATAAGCTGTATGGCTTCTTTTTTGATTTATTGGTGGCTCAAATGCAGGCCCAATTACATCTGTATATAAAATGTTTTGTGCAACTTGAAATGCCTCATCACTTAATCTGATTTTAACATATATTAATAAATAAAAGTAATTTTAAAACAACATTTACAATTTAAAATAGTGTTTAAAATATATTGCCTTTTTTTGCATTTTTTTCATGTTTTTGGCCTGAAAAAAAATTACCAAAACTGACATAAACATCTCACATTATAAAAAAGCTCACTGATCCGAATCTTAGTTTCATTATTTTTATGCCAGTGCAAACAATGGTAGATATTTCATAGGACAGACATTTAAAATTTGAGTACATAATAATGATGTGACCATATTTTTACTTGTAAAGCAGTAAGACTAATGGGTCAATAGCACAGGAGTAGCACTTGATTCAATGACTACCAGGTTCCGTACTTACTCATCAACTAACAGTATATACTAGACCTTGTCTATTTTTTTTTTTAGCAGAATAATTTTCCTTCAAAAAGTCTGATATCAGAAAACAAAAATGCTTGACAAAATCATGACGTTCCTTAAAAACTTCGAAGGAAATCACTGAAAAGCACCAAAACACAAGTCACCAGAATCATAGAGAATATTGTAGATGAGATCTTACAAGTGCATTGTATAATGCCATTAGTAGTTCTAGATGTCTAATAGAAATATTTTGTCTGATTACATTCTCTGGTTGCATTTGACTTATTAGGAGACATATCACACAGGTGGATCATAATCATGCTATGGCTCAAGACTTGCTCTTCATCTTCATCTAGACTCCCAACTTAAACAGGAAATTCTGGTTATTACCCCCTATATGCAAGATCAATGATCACACAGCATAGTACTATTTCAGTTCTTTTAGTTTGGTCTTAAAGGTCATCCAGTTCTTCCCATATAATATTTAGTTCCTCTGTTCCTTTTCTGCCTCAGCATTGTTTAGTCATTTTCTGTCATCAGCAAATTCCATTACCATGCTTCTAATGACCTTATATAAGTGCAAATTAGTAAATAAGATCAGTCCCCAAACCAGGGGATTCCTTTTAGCACAATCTGTTCCTTTTAGCACAATCTGTTACTTCCTCTGTTGCCAGTTCTTTATCTTCTTTGTAATTCTTGTACTAATCTTCATCTTTGCTGGAGGAACTAATGACAGCCTAGGTCAAAAGCTGAAGACAGGTAGATCAAATACACTCCATTTCATTTGTTTAGAAACTTCATTAAAATAACAACAACATATTTTGATTTCTCCCCCCTCAATTCAGAACTAAATGAAGATTTAAGTGTTTAGGTCTTATTGGAACATTGATCAATATATATACTACTCACACAAAGGCTTTCTTAAAATGTTGGTCAGAGTAGGCCTGATCAGTGAACCTGACCAATTCACAAGCATCTTACATAAGCAAGACTTGGCATGTAGGCCTCCTGTCTGGAGACGGGAGGGGAAGGTGGTTGTACAAGATATAGAATTGTCTAGTACCAAGATAATAAGACTGGAACAGGAACATCCAGATCAGGATGTAGAACAAGCCCATGGTACAGGGGAGTTCAAGATATTCAAGGTATTGGTTGAATGTAATACATAATTGGTCTTGATTATGATATAAAAGGAGAATTATAAATCTATATCTATATGCTTCTATAATGCACACATCATAGATTTTCTAGTGATTCATCAGTAATTGTACAGAATGCCAGACTACACTAGAAAGTGAGATTTTATCTCACTTTATGAAGTAGCTTTTCCCCACTGTTTTAAGAAAAAACACACAAATTTGTTTGCCTTAAGTCACTGCAAAAATAAAATATTTTCCAGATAATTAAATTATGTAAGCTAAAAAGATTTAATTGTCCTTTTATATCTATCTCTGTATCTCTCTCTCTCTATCTATATCTACACATATATATATATATTTTAAAGAACTATATATGTATGTATGTATGTATGTATGTATGTATGTATTAGTGGTGTTTCATTTTAATCACAGAAAAATGTGGATTTTGAGTTACTTTATTAACATGAAAATTGGAATTTTTTTATCAAAGAAAACCAGATTCTCTGCTGATCATGGTCCTATAATGATTGAAAATTTGTGATCCTGGCATAACATCTGTGTGTTTGTGTCAATTTAAGGGGGAAATGTTTTCCCTAAGCACTCATACTCATTTCCAATGTAACCCAACTTGTTTCACTAATCTAATCTATTCCATGCTTTCCTACCATCAGAATATTTCTAATACTTTTGGCCGTGTGTAGATGAAATGAGGGGTGTGTGTGTGCATGACACTTTAAAGCGGGCTAAATGTTTTTGCACCGATTTAATGTTGTTGGTGTTTGCACGCCTCAGTGGTGTATTGGGCATTAATTCTAGATGCTATAGGACATTTGGCAATGTAACATGCCTTAAATATCTTGGGGTGCAGCAAACTAAAACTCCAAGTTTGGAGTTGGGGTGACTTGGGGGGCAGCAAACTAAAACTAAAAGTTTGCTGCCCCTACAGCCATGGAGCAAAGTACTGGGCTCCATGCAGCTCAGGCAGCCTAGTAAGGCAGGCTTCTGCCACCCAAGAAAAGTGGTGAGCCTGCTTCCCCCCTGCCCTCCTGGAACCTGCCTGCCGGAATGAGCTGCTCAGGGGCCTGGTGCTTCTATTCATGGCTCTGGTGTCCCCCCCAGGACCGCCCGAGCCAGGTGCTTGTTGGCAGGTGCCATGTGGGGGGGGGGAGGCACCGTGCCATAGAGAGAAGCACCAACCGCCCCCCGCTGCAGCCAAGGGACTGCTCTGCCCACCAGCAACTCACCCTCCCCTTCCCACCGCTGGAGAGACAGGTAAGTGCAGGGTGTGTGCACAACACAGGGGTTTTAAGGGCCCTAAATTTTAAGCAGCAAATTTAAAAACCCACGGCTTCAATTTCATAGATTTCATAGACATTAGGGCTGGAAGGGACCTCAAAAGATCATTGAGTCTAGCCCCCCGCCCAAAGGGCAGGAAGTCAGCTGGGGTCATAGGATCCCAGCAAGATAAGCATTCAATTTACTCTTGAAGGTGTTCAAAGTAGGTGCTTGAACCACCTCCGATGGCAGGCGGTTTCAGACCTTGGGGGCTTGGACAATAAAGAAATTATTCCTTATGTCCAGCCTGAAATGGTCTTGTAGTAGTTTATAACCGTTCAACCTCGTCATCCCTTGGGATGCTCCAGTGAACAAACGTTCCCCCAGATCCTGGTGGTCACCCCAGATAAACTTATAGGTGGCCATCAGATCACCCT